ATAAACAAGTGGGTAACACAAAATATAGTGAGATACAGATTTGCATTTAAAAAAAACAAGCAGTCGGATCATTAAAGGACCATTATAGTGCCAGGAAAACATTTTCCTGGCACTGTAGTGCCCTGAGGGTGCCCCACTCCCGTGGCACTGAGGGGGGAGGAAGGGGTTAAACTTACCTCTTTCTCCAGCGCCGGGCGGGGAGCTCTCCTTCTCCTCTCCGCCTCCTCCCCCTCTTCGGCTGAATGCGCATGCGCGGCAGGAGCCGCACGCGCATTCAGCCAGTCCATAGGAAAGCATTCACAATCACAGTGAGAAACGCGGAAGCGCCTCTAGCTGCTGTCAATGAGAGGATTAACCCTAATATAAACATAGCAGTTTCTTTGAAGCTGCTATGTTTATAGAAAAAAGGGTTAACATTAGCTGGACCAGGCACCCAGGCCACTTCATTAAGCTGAAGTGGTCTGGGTGCCTATAGTGGTCCATTAAGTCTTTTTAGGAAGATACTGCAACATCCAGAGAAGGTAATGCACCTGTCTATTGAATAGTAAATAAACACCTGGTGTAATTGGTTAATAAATAGTCCAACATCTATACACACTATATGTTAAATACCAGGACAAATTCAGGATATTATAAAGAAACAGCAACAATGGACGACAATACTTTGGTCTTCGACATCCCAAGCTGGAATGAAAAGATATAAAGCAACAAATACATCTACGAACTAATATTCTGGGAGGTTTTTTGTTTGTTTTCTATGAATCATGTGTTGTATTTTATTATTTATATTTATAAATTTATTATTTCTACATTAAATTGTGTTTTTTGTTCCATTTCACATTCAAAACTGAATTGAACAAAATATGAGGTAGGTGTCAGGTCATAGAGTTACCACCGTCCCCAAAATGTAATCATAGAATCCCCAATACTAACTCGGCAACATTACGAAATCTTTTAATTGACAGAACATTATTCCAGCATTATAGACTGACCAGACAACGTTTCAACTTCATAGCCTACATTGGCTTCCTATAAAATATAGAGCTCAATTTAAAATTCTGGTTCTTGCTTTCAAATCGCTACATAATGCTGCTCCCACCTATCTATCCTCCCTTATACACAAATATGTCCCGTCTAGGCCCTTACAATCTGCTGAAGACGTACATCTATCTTCTGTCCGTACTCCCACCTCTGATGCTCGCCTTCAAGATTTCTCGAGGGCTGCACCGTTCCTGTGGAACTCGCTTCCCTCCTCCGTTAGATGCTCACCCAGTCTCCACTCCTTCAAAAAATCATTAAAAACCCACTTCTTCATAAAAGCGTATCAATTAAACTGTTAATAGCTCCTGACTAATTCCTCTTCTGCAACTGTCACTAGTCTAGTACTATCCTTACCTTTTTTGTGTCATTTTACCCAACTCCCTCTAGCATGTAATCTCATTGAGCAGGGCCCTCAACCCCTCCGTTACTGTTTGTCCAACTTGTCTGGTTACAACTACATGTCTGTTCGTCCACCCATTGTAAAGCGCTGCGGATATCATAATAATAATAATAATAATAGGCTTGATAGAGACCTAAATGGTTCAAATGTTGACAGGTCTGTCTATAAAAATGTAATAAAGGTCAGTTCATGGAAAGACTTGTTAATGTTGCCAAATCAATATTGTGGACTGTATGCAAAATGTCATTCGCAATTTTGTGTCTCTATACTATGCAGAAAAGAACTGCATGTAAAAGAAAATGTTTTACATACAAACAAAAAGCATTTCTGCAATGGCAAATTAAAAACAGTCAAAAGTGTATCACTATGGCTGATTACTCAAACATAATAAGTAATAAAACTGACTATATAGTTGAGTAACCCCTGATTGAGCAACTGGGCCGATGGTGAATTTGTTAACAATTAGCAGCAAAGTTAAGCTCATGTGATAGGTTAGTTGGTTAAAACACCAACTGAAGTACCAGCTCAAATACTAACATCAACAAGATCAAATTGCAAAAACCCAGTTTTTCATCGTTATGTGGTTAATAAAATGAGTAATAAAAACATCTACTAATCTGCGGCCAGTCTGGTTAAAATCCAAGAGCATGTGTAAGCCAAATCACTTGCGTATTAAAATAGGGACCTTTTTTTATAGGCACCATATTTTTTTTTACAATATAATTATTTTTTCCATTTCTTAATATAGCAATATGATTTTTGTTTATAAAATAATTATGTCTGTGCAAATTATCCTGCGGTCATCAAAATATTTGTAGTTTATCAACACGTTTAGAGATCTGGCTTTTTTTTCATTCAATTAGCTCTTGCAGTACTGATTAGAACAAACATCCTTGTTCTCATGGAAAATTCATTAGCCCAGGCACTACTGAATAACCTTTCTGAATAAGATTATTCACAGAGTGTAAACCACACCTTTTTGTCATCTCAAAACATTATCTGACTTTTTATAGCAGTTTGTATCACCTAATTATGCCAGGGCATGACCTTTTAAAAGTCTACTGTTCTCCGTCAAGTTGGCACTAAGTTTGTATGAAGAAAAAAAAAATTCTATCAAATACATCTATACTCATTATATCCAGAATTAATAAATAAGTGAACATGTCAATAGCAAAACTTACAATAATACCTTGAGTGTCAGAAACATGATGCATTTATCGGACATTATAAATAAATGATCGCCATATTGGGATTGGGATTGGGACTGTACTGGACTCCTTTTTCTTAGGGTAGAATTGGGTAACAGCATCAAGGGATGGAGACAGACCTCTTTAAAGTGGTTATTGCTTCCCAAGTAGGTTTTTGGTGTTGAACAAGAAAGGACCTCTTGTTAGGTCAGTGGTTTAGATCATGTGGTTGAATGTGCAAAGTCCAACAAATCAGAACGCAAAGTTACATTTTAGGAGTGGTGTCAAGCGAACTACCATCAAACGTCACCAGCAACCACTGCTCCCAACTGACATTCATGGTTCTGTCCCACCATTCTGAGTTTGATCAACTGACACCAGAAAATGGCCTCAACCAGTGTAGCATGTGTACAATTAGACATAGTGACGTAAATCTGGCTTTCAGCCCATCCTCAAAGAGGTTCAGTAATGCTCTGAGCATGGCCTTCCCAGTCCTAGATCCCATCCGACCCTGTGTTGGAATGCATGGACATTTACTGAAAAAATATAGAAAGGTGTTGGACAGTCAGGAAATATAAGAACCTGTTGAGACATAATACGGTTTAAGCACAAGGAGTAAGTAGAGTAAGTAGAGTGATAGCTCAAAAATAAATCAATTGCGTAGTTAATTAGATTAAAAATGCACCAATTCCTCTACCTGTGCATCCCCTCTATGTATCCTGAAATAAAAAAATAATAAAATCACACTGACAATGTGGTGTCCAAAGGGTAACAACATCTCATTTTGACAAGAAGAAAAAGGTTTTCTCTAAATAATAAAAATCTAACAGGTTAATGTAACTATTGAAACTCTGAAATTCTGTTTTTAAAACAATACCAAACTATGTGTTTATGTATATATTTATTTTAAAGTGTTGACTCCAGTAATTTCACTTGATGCAGCCATCATGCAAACATCACCGGGACCAAATAACAATTCTCGGTGTTCAACGTCAAATTTCTGCGTGCTTGTTAAACATACATTTAAATAGCTAACTACTTATTTTCCGTGCATTTCTTAACCTATCCTGCCACCACACAAGCTGTAATTTATGGTCATAGAAATGATGCAGATAATTGAGCGCAGATGGAAGGAAACAATTTCTGCTATCAAATGAACTGTGAGCTGACACATGGTTGGTATTCAAATAAATGATGCTCACAGCTGAAGAGAACCTAAAGATGGCTGACCAGCCAGAGCAAAGGATAGCCGTGAGATGATTATACAGAATAATACATTGTAACAGCTAAGCTGTTATGGTCTTGTGGCACCATGTTACTCATGCACGTTAAGCTGACGATTTATGCCCCACACAGAATATTCAAGAATCCATTTTAGCTTCTCACATTATTTTGACTTCATCCCTTTCTTGATATTTGGTACAAAAATCACTTGCTTAATTTTCTTACCATCACACTGTGCATAAGCAAACAGCTTAACAAATGATTCCACTCTTTAGTTAAGGGACACAATAAAGAGATTGCTTGTCATGCTGAGATTGTGTAGTTTGTCTTTCTCTGACTAAACTTGTGTCTGACTTGATTTTTGTCTCATCAGGCTAAGGATGTAGGCCGAAACATTTCAGCACCTGAGAAGATTTGTATCTCTCCGGTGTACTGAACGTGGTTTCACACAGTGATATGCTTAATGGAGCTGTATCGGAAATAATTACAAAATTAATTGGAGTAATTGCTGTCAATTGAAATATTTCTCCATCCTTGTTTTGTAAATTAACCTCGATCTATCCTATTAGTGACTGTCAAGACATATATTATATTAAATGCAGTGCTGCTAATCAGTCAGATTTATTTGGCAATTTATTGCAGGTGCAAATACATTTCAAAGCAAATGTTAAACAAAACATTAAAAAAAAAAAGATATTCATAAATTGGGCTTTTGATAAATAAATCAGAAAATTGTAAAATGGGCATTTTGTTTCTAATTTTTAAAAAAAATACATAATATCCTTTTTACGTTCATGAATTTTATTTCTTCATTTCAAAGCTATAGTTGGCACCAACCCAAAACAAATCACATAACCCATCCTTGTCATTTAACACTGTATACTGCAATATGTTACAATCTCTACAATTGATGAACATGAGGATATTAAATTACGACATCAGTTTGTGAACAATAACATATAAGAGAATGGTAGCCATATAAAAGCCAATAATAGGGTAATTCAGTTACTGACATTTACAAAATCATTTTATAGTTGCAGTTAAACTAATAAAGAGGACCATTTTCTGCATAGTTAATATGAGGTTAGTGATTTTCTCTAAATATGATAGACTGCGTCTTTAAATAGATATACCATCTGTCATAGCCAGGGGAGGTGAACACTAACACATCTTTAAAAAGGCTAAAAATAGGTTTTTATTTACTGGATCTCCTGGGTGGTTTGATTTTGGACTTGCTGTAGGTGGAGTTCCTAAATAATATCTTCATTTTAATAAATATTCATCATATCACATCTAATCACTTATGATCGAATTAATACACCTTTACTAGGATAGTGACATGTTGACAAATGGCAGAAAATAAAGGACCACTAAAGTCACCCAGGCCACAAACACCCTAATGCAGTAGCCTTTGTGCAGTGGTCCTGTCTTCTTAACCATCCAAGGTAAAGTATTGCCATTTTGCATAAATGTCAATGTTTAACTTGAAGGGTTAAATATACCTCCAGTGGCTATTACACTGATAGCCACTGGAGACACTTGATGTGTCTGGTGTGATGTTGCAGCCCCCATATGATTAATGTTTTCCGATGGGAAAGCTTAAATGCATGTGCGACACTCACTGCGCATGCACATCAGGTCCTTACATGCATAGGATTGGACCAAACTGAAGCTAAATAAAAAGATTTTAAAATTGATTATTATGGCATAAACAGGCGGGAGGGGACCTATATAACTAGGGACAGTGACACCAGAGCATTAGGAATACAGGTCCTCTATACCAGCAAATTAATTCCTTTACATGCAACCATTGCTGAGGTTGTCTCTATCCCAAAGAGCTTGCAATCCGTTAATTACTATGGTATAAGGTAGTGGTAGTGGTAAGACGGTGTGTAATAATTATTTATCAAATGTTGTCTAATAAATCCAAATAAATACATTTAAGAGTCATGCTAAAGTAAAGCGGTCAGAAACGTATGTATACAATGAAACACTGTCTGGGTTATTCAATACAGTGTGACATGTTGGGAATCAAAGTGAATTACCAATCTTAGGCCATGATAACCAAACCAAAAACATAGCCGACATGGAGAATATTTCCAATTCAGGAATTTTACATTTTCTTTTAATTCTCAACAAATCACACTTTAGTAAAAAAAAAATAAACTATCATATAGAAGCATTGCATGCAGTAATTCTCTATGACAGACCGTGATGTCAAGGTGAACCTGGGTACGACAGGTGTTGGTTGAAGCCGCACTTCCTAACTATTGAAATATTGAAATAAAGTGATTTGGGGCCACTACGAAGGAGGAACTTTTGTGCAATCAAATAATATTTTTAAAGTTTTTATGTTTGAATTCATTTTCCCGCCCTTACTAAACATCCAAAACATATTTCATATTTAATTATGAAAATCAGGTTAGGGAACAATTCCAAGAGACTGAAAAGTTAGGCAAGGATTGCAATTACAGATTTTGCCAAATGATTTCTAAGTATTTTGACATTATTTGACGACCACCCACCCCCAAGCACTCTCAAATCCATGCCCTCTTTTCAACTTCCTTATAATCCACTAAATATATTTCTACAGGTAAGCAGGATTCAGTGAGATCCTCAGTACTTGTCTTAATTAGTTGGTACCAAAGGAGTTAAAGGACCACCATAGTCACCCAGGCCACATCATCTCAAATAAAGTGGTCTGGGTGCAGAGATAAAACATTGCAGTTTTTTTAGAAACTGTAATCTGTAATTTGAATCATTAGTCCTAGAATATAATTTACCAGAATCTGAAATATTTAACTATTTAAGAGTGAAATCACTAGTCAGAAAAGTGAAAACTCCATATTTATGAAACACATTTTTTAAATAAGAAAAACTTCAAAAATGTTATCAAAGTGTTATATGCTGATCAGATCAATATAATCCTGATTGAAACATTTTATGAAGTATGTAATAGGTGGAATTTAGTGTCAACAAGATTAAACAAAATGGATCCTAGTGTTTCACATTTGTGTTGGAGATGTATGAAGGTAGTTGGAAGTTATCTATACACATGGCGGAGTGGTTCAAAAATCAAAAAAATATAGGATCAGGTTTATAAAACCTTATATGATTGTGATCAGATTAAAATTAATAAAACTCATATGACAGCATTCCAATATTATCTAACCACACATTGAAGATTCTCTTAGCAAGAAACTAGAAACATCATTTAGAAATCAGCTATACCCATTGGGTAAAACAACTGACGTTACAATTAAAGATGGAATTGGGCATATGCTGGAGAAATAGTACCTCGGTCAGGAATAAACTGTTAAAGGACCACTATAGTGCCAGGAAAACATACTCATTTTCCTGGCACTATAGTGCCCTGAGGGTGCCCCCACCCTCAGGGACCCCCTCCCGCCCAGCTCTGGAAGGGGGAAAGGAGGAAAAACTTAACTTTTTCCAGCGCTGGGCAGAGAGCTCTCCTCCTTCGATCCTCCTTCTCTCCTCCCCGTCGGCTGAATGCGCACGCGCGGCAAGAGCTGCGCGCGCATTGAGCCGGTCACATAGGAAAGCATTCATAATGCTTTCCTATGGACGCTGGCGTGCTCTCACTGTGAAAATCACAGTGAGAAGCACGCAAGCGCCTCTAGTGGCTGTCAATGAGACAGCCACTAGAGGGAATGGGGGAAGGCTTAACCCATTAATAAACATAGCAGTTTCTCTGAAACTGCTATGTTTATGAAAAAATGGGTTAACCCAAGCTGGACCTGGCACCCAGACCACTTCATTAAGCTGAAGTGGTCTGGGTGCCTAGAGTGGTCCTTTAAGAGAAAAATGTTAGGATCTCGTATTAACATTTACGTAAAGTCTGAGTAAAATATGCACTTTAGAGTTTTTAAATAGACGGTTTATAAAGATTAGATAAGTACAGCCTTGTACTAGATCAGTCACTATTCCTCACAGGTAGATATGTATCAAATAAAGTCAATTTTTTTGTCTGTTTAATGTTTGGTATTTCTATGTTTTGTATTGTCTTTTAAAGGATGGGGAAAATCAAATAAAGATGATTTAATTTTAAAAATAATAAATATACATATGCTCTCTTAACCTTATGCACCCCTCACACAAACACAGCACTCGCCCCACACACAGCACTCCTCACAAACACACAGCACCCCTCCACCCACCCACCCCCACACACACAACACCCCCCCACACACACAACACCGCTCACACACACACTCTGCATCCCTCACATACACAGCACCCCCACACACATCACCCCTCACACACAACACACTGTACCCCTCACACACTCTGCACTTTCACACACACAGTACCCTTCACACACACACTCTGCATCCCTCACACACACAAAAAGCACCCTCAACACACAGCACCCCTCACACACTCTGCACATCCCTACACACAGCACCTCTAACACACTCTGCACCCCCACACTCTGCACCCCTCACACACACCAACCCTGCACACACATACACTGCACCCCTTACTGGAGTCTGTGTGTGTATTTAGCAGTCTGTGTGTATTCAGCAGTGCGTGTGTATTCAGCAGTCTGTGTGTGTGTATCCAGCAGTCTCTGTGTATTCAGCAGACTGTGTGTATTCAGCAGATTGTGTTTATCTATCCAGCAGTCTGTGTATTCAGCAGTCTGTGTGTGTATGTGTGTGTGTGTGTATGTGTGTGTGTGTATTCATGTGTATTCAGCAGTCTGTGTGTGTGTGTATATTCAGCAGTCAGTGTGTATGCTGAGTATACATACAGACTGCTGAGTATATACACAGACTGCTGAATACACACACAAACACTGACTGCTGAATACACACACACAGATATCTAAATACACACACACAGGCTGCTGAATACACACACAGACTGCTGAATACATGCACACACTGACTGCAGAGTACACACAAACAGACTGCTGAATACACACACAGACTGCTAAATACACACACAGACTGCTGAGTATACACACAGACAGACTGCTGAATACAGAGCCTGTGTATTCAGCAGTCTGTGTGTGTAGTCAGCAGTCTGTGTGTATTCAGCAGTCTGTGTGTGTGCATTCAGCAGTCGGTGTGTGTGTGTATTCAGCAGTCAGTGTGTGTGCTAGGTATACACACAGACTGCTGAATACACACACAGACTGCTGAATACACACACACAGACTTCTGAATACCGACACACAGACCGCACTCAGTAGGGGGGTGCCACACTCTGTACCTCCTGCTGCTTCAGCCATAATATCCTAGAGGCTCTAGCGCTCAGTCAGTGAGTCAGCGCACAGGGAGGGGATTGCCAGCCTGTGTTCTGACTCACACAGAGCACCAGGGAGGTTATTATGGAGTGTATCTGTATGTGTGTGTGTCTGTGTAGCTGCATGTGTGTCTCTGTATCTGTATGTGACTGTGTGTCTATATCTGCATGTGTATATATGTGTGTATATATCTGCATACATCTCAGCATCTTGCCAACACTACACACAAACACAACCCTGCATTTCAGTGTAAACACTACATACAAACATACCTCTGTATTAATACCATTATCACCATTACAGGGAGTGCAGAATTATTAGGCAAGTTGTATTTTTGAGGATTAATTTTATTATTGAACAACAACCATGTTCTCAATGAACCCAAAAAACTCATTAATATCAAAGCTGAATATTTTTGGAAGTAGTTTTTAGTTTGTTTTTAGTTATAGCTATGTTAGGGGGATATCTGTGTGTGCAGGTGACTATTACTGTGCATAATTATTAGGCAATTTAACAAAAAACAAATATATACCTATTTCAATTATTTATTATTACCAGTGAAACCAATATAACATCTCAACATTCACAAATATACATTTCTGACATTCAAAAACAAAACAAAAACAAATCAGTGACCAATATACCCACCTTTCTTTGCAAGGACACTCAAAAGCCTGCCATCCATGGATTCTGTCAGTGTTTTGATCTGTTCACCATCAACATTGCGTGCAGCAGCAACCACAGCCTCCCAGACACTGTTCAGAGAGGTGTACTGTTTTCCCTCCTTGTAAATCTCACATTTTATGATGGACCACAGGTTCTCAATGGGGTTCAGATCAGGTGAACAAGGAGGCCATGTCATTAGATTTTCTTCTTTTATACCCTTTCTTGCCAGCCACGCTGTGGAGTACTTGGACGCGTGTGATGGAGCATTGTCCTGCATGAAAATCATGTTTTTCTTGAAGGATGCAGACTTCTTCCTGTACCACTGCTTGAAGAAGGTGTCTTCCAGGAACTGGCAGTAGGACTGGGAGTTGAGCTTGACTCCATCCTCAACCCGAAAAGGCCCCACAAGCTCATCTTTGATGATACCAGCCCAAACCAGTACTCCACCTCCACCTTGC